TCGTGGACTAAAACGAGAGGATGTGCAGCGTGGAATGGTAAATGGCACCTACTTAACTTTTCTTTACATCCCCTTAGTTCTTCAACAAATAGAGCTTCTTGGAGCGACTCTAATATATCCATAATATACATTCTTTCTGAAGTCACATTTTCCGTTTTCACATCAATCCTTGTGAAGCTTTCATGCTGAGGAATCTTTTATGTTGAACAAGATAGAAGATTATTCAGTAATGTTCATTATTAGCTGTTGAAAGAATATATATACATATTTATCTATATATATTGATGGTAAATTTGTATTGTTGGGCATGATGGTGCGAAAATGAGAATGTAGCAAAGCTGGAGCATCTGATTTCTTCCAATTATTTAGGTAATTGCCAAACCTGGAAGCTTGAAGACATACAAAAGGTTTGAGGCAGAGATATACGTCCTCACGAAAGATGAAGGTGGACGTCATACAGCTTTTGAATCAAATTACAGGCCCCAGTTTTATCTGAGGACGGCAGATGTAACTGGAAAAGTGGAATTACCTGAAAGTGTTAAGATGGTTCTGCCTGGAGACAATGTTACTGCAACTTTCGAGCTCATCTCACCTGTGCCCCTTGAAGCAGGTACATTATTCCTTTTTTTTCTCCTGAGCCAAGAATGGTGTTTTTCTCTCGTCATTGAAGTCTAAAAATGATATTAGAAATAAGACCATCTTAACCTGCTGCTTGTCGTGAATGTGTAACAGGACAAAGATTTGCCTTGAGGGAAGGAGGTAGAACTGTCGGTGCTGGTGTAGTATCCAAAGTACTGAGCTAAGAAGTTGCCACTCCAGTTTGGCTGATGGTTTTTACAATTAGATGAAAAAGGGATTGTTAGTGATATGAAAAAGGGATGTTCTTGAAATTTATTTTTGTTCAATTTCCGGTGGTTTGTAAGCAGTCAGCATGTTTTACCCCCATTTCCACCCCAAAAATATCAATTGAACAGCATTTTGATGTCATTGAAAATATTAGTACTGTTGAGCAGTGGTACAATCCCATGTAAACTTGATATCTCGCACGTCATAATCAATCAATTTTCTTTGAACAAGTTCTCTTACAATTAAATGAGCTTCGAGGGAAACAACCTTCAATAATATGTAGGGGAGAGATGCTATTATTCATCAATTTTCAGTTTATTTTCATAATTTTTTATAGTTTTGAATTACTATTATTATTTTTTATTAATTTAGGGTGATTATATCTGTTCTAGAGACTTACAATTAACAATAAACACTCGAATACTTTGTACAATCTGTGCTCGAATACGACTCTAAAATAACAATTATCCCTTATATTCCATGCAATCTTTGCCTGAACACGACCTCTAAGAGTAACAATCATCTATATACATGTGTAATATGTGCTTAAACACGACTTCTAAGAATAACAATATCCCTTTATTCATTGGAGTAGTTTAGTTTGTGCCAATTTTTTTAAAGAATTCAAGACTAAAATATAAATAAATTTATATAATAAAATTTAATTTTTCACATCATTAATCTGTTATTAAATTGATAGATAATAGTAGTTTTGTAATATTTCAATAATAATTATGATGATTTTATCCTATATGGTTATGAAGCCATTGTAGTTTGAGTTTTACAAAACTGATCTGATGATCGGTTCTCGAATTTTGATGAATAGATGCTTGCAGAAGAAGCAAAGGCCACGGCTGTTGCCTATGATGAAATTAACAAACCCCCCTGTTCAGTAGGGGGAACTGAAATTGCACTGGTTGGTAACCTTTTTTGTTTGCCGTTCAGATTTTGTTTGGGCTGCAATGATATCGCACTTTCCATTTTGCAGGCTCGTTTGGAGTATGTACATGCCATGGGCATCTTGATCATGTTAAAGTAAGCCGTTGACGTTGGCATTAGCACTATTATGAGCAATGGCCTGATTGTAACATGTTCTGCAGAATATGATCGCCGGTGCCCGGATTGACGGTGGTATTCTGGTCGTGTCCGCTCTTGATGGGCCCATGATGATGGAACAGACTAAAGAATAGATTCGAGTTGCCAGACAGGTGGATGTACTACTAGTAGCTGTGCTCAGGTTGGTGTTTCCTCTCTTTTGTGTGTTTTCTGAATAAAGTTGACACCGATCCGCTGCGGTTGGAGATCGTCGAAAAGGAGATTCGTGGTAGTGTAGCCTTTTTAAGCCATTCTTGCCTGTTCCTTATTTTGGATTCTTGGAACTAATTCACGTAAGTCTTACGTTTGTAACAGAGCTTCTGAGTTTCTACAGATTTCCTGGGGATGACATACATTTCATTCAGGGATCAGCATTGTCAGCCTAAAATGGTGAGGCAACAGGCATAGACCTGACAAATTTGACCCGAACCCGATTAGTCGAACCTATTTACTTGATCGTTACCCAAAATTAACTCGAATATGATAATCAAAGTTGATCTGATATCCGACCCATATCCGATCAGAACCGTACCTGAACCAAAATTTAGTGAAACCGAAATTAACCTAAATCGAAACCGAAAGAAACCCAAACCGAATTTTAACCCGAGCCAAAAACAACACGAACCAAATTTAACCCGACCCGAAAGCAACCCAAAGAGAAATTAATTCGAACCGAACAATAAATTAATTTAAATAAAATTGATAATTTATTAAAAATATTAGATTTATAATAAAAATAATAGAAAATTTACTTATGTTATTACATAGGAGGAATATAAAAGTAAGGATCAAATTGTAACATTGAAAACAGTAATAAATAAAATAATCTAATTGTAATATTGAAAACAATAATAAATAAATTTTTTTTTGATAATCTATTTTCATTACCCAAGAAAGCATAATACTGCTACAAGGAACAGCTGAATACGTTAGCAGCAGGCATAAGCAACAGAAAAATCAGCTAAGCCTAACACATAATCATAACAAACTATAAACCGCTAAATGCAGAGGATGCCCCAACTTGCACAAAGGGTAGCATTCCTCGATTCCACTCTGTCAATAGGACAACTGCTCAAACGGATCCTGACAGTGTCTTTAATATCCTCCAGAAGATCTTCCATCAACCTTGTTTTACCTCCAAACAGCCTGCTGTAATAAAAATTTACTTATCTTATTTGTAATAAAAATATTAAATTTATAATAAAATTAATAGAAAACAACTAAAACAAAGGAAATACTATTAGATTTATAATAAAAATAATATAAAGTTTACTTATGTTACGACTAAAACTTAACAAATAAAGTTATGTATTATTTTTTAAAAATTAATAAAAATTTTAAATTCATAATTGGAAATAAAAATTTTATTTATTTATCGTATAGTTCTCATTATAAACTTTTCATACAAGATTAATATAAAATTTTGATAACAAATTCTAACACGCATTACAGAATCGTACTTGTGTCAAATTATGGATTTATCATCACTAAATGTTGGTTTAATTAAAAATATTGAATGATTGATAATTGATAATTGAAATTAGGCCCAAACGAAAAGACATATTTTTTTAAAGAATATATCAATACTTCTATATATACTTGATTAGACTCATAATTAATTCAACCCGAATTGATCTGATCTAAAGGTTGACCTAACTAAAAATCAACCAATTTGATATTGACCCGACTCGAAATCTAACCAATCCGATATTGACCTGACCCAAATATCAATTGATCTGAACCGAAAAACAACTAATTCGATAATCACCCGACCTGAAAATTGACTTGAGTCGATACCCGACCTGATCCGATTTACAGTACACCCGAACTAGATCTAACCTGACCCGAATAAAATTAAACTGAATATAATTTATACCATAAATAACCCGACTCAAAATGACCTAATCCAAATGACCAGTTTGCCAACTCTAAACAGGCAAAATTGCAATCCTTGAACTAATGGAGGCTTTAGATGCATACATTCACGACCCCGTGTTCCAACTCGACAAGCCTTTCCTGATGCCGGTCGAAGCCGTTTTCTCCATTGAGGTAGGGGGCCGTGCATTTGAACTAGTGGGGCTTAAAGCTTAGTAATCTGACATAATTTTTTTTTCCTTTTGGTGTTCTTTCTCATTTTCCGTGAAGTCCGTATGCATTTGTCTTCAACTGTTAGTTTTAAGATTGAGCTTTCTTCTGCAGGGTGAGGGTGGACCTCTAAGAACTACGGTTACTTTGGATCAGGATCAACATGTTACTCATGGATCGAGGGCAGGTAAGTGAACTAGACTTTGCCTTGCTAGCTGAGGCTCTTCTGCATTTGGTGTTGAACTGTATTGCACCGTGTATGGAACTAAGCTTCTTTACATCCTCTGTAATTGTCGATGTCCTGGCCCTGCCGGGAGCAGCTAGGTGGTTCACAGAGCCGAAAACATCAACAACTAGCTTTAGACAGATGGTAAAGCTGAAGCATCTGTTTCTTCCAACTGCATAGGCGATTGCAAAAACCTGGAACCTTGAAGTCGTCCGACCGATTCGAGGCAGTGGTGTATGTCTGCACGCTAGCTGAAGGTGGGTGGATATATTATAACCCAAGACAACTTTTGAGACCCCAGGTTTTTCTGAGGACTATTGATATAACCGCAACGGTGGACTTACTCGGAGGCATTTCGATGGTTCTACCGGGGAACTATGCAAAATACCAATTACAATCAAGGATACATAGTTTCAAGGACAAAGACAAAATTGTAGTTATATTAACTTCATAACATGGAAGGTATGGTTCTTTTTTGCCCTCAAGGCAGGCATTAGCACTGGTAAAACATCATAACCTTGGCTCTCACCTCTCCATTTACAACATAATGATAGCTGTACATACACAAGCTGCAGAGATCAGGTCTTCATATGTGCTCAAGGTCATCATAAGACCCCCATTGGGTAGCATATAAGTCAAAGTTCCATTGTCCCTCCAACTCCCTCTGTTCTTCAGATATCGACGTCCAAGATCAACGTTGCACCTCCAGAAGGTTCATACAAACCTCAGCACCGCTACAGCCATCAAGGTCGCAGCTCTGAAATAGATTTGATTTAAGCTTCTCTCCACTCACTTAATCATCTCCTCTTCCTCCGGATCCGACTTGCTAGTATTCTTGCTGATATGTACGACCATGTCCCTAAGTCGGTTGACTGCCCGCGAGAGCCAAACTAGTCCAAAGGCGAGGCCAGTGCTAAATAGTTTAGATGTACCAAATGGAACTCTCCCACAAGCAACCTTAAAAATAGCAGAGAAGAGAACAGCAAGACCAGCCCCAGCAATGCTAGCAGAGAATTGGGTCAAGAGCTGAGGAAGTTCAGGTTCGGATTTCCTAAGGGAAAGAACTGCTGTTCTGCCTTGCCGTCTCTTATCAACCATCAAGGAAATAAGGCACTCACATGCATGAAAAAAGTTCTTCTTGTAGAGATCTCTATCCCTGCCTAACTTCTTTGAACCCTTCTTTGGCGACGGCTTCAGCTTGATTTTCTCAGGACTGTCAAAAAAGAGGTGATGCATGAGAATACAAGAAATAGAAAAACATTCTGAACAAAAGATTTTCATAGAATATACGAAAACTAAAGTTTTTTTAGAAGTTTACATTTTCACAATGTATAAGAACAAATGTCTTTAGATCTCATAATCAGTGGATGATAGCCAAGTTGGAAGATATGTAGGTCAGACCTGCCACTTCTAGCATAGTACGTTCATTTTTGTAAAAGGAGATGTAACCAAAACCTGTGAGATAATTGAATAAAAATTCTAACATTGCCTAGGGCACCGAAAACATAAGCACATTGCTGAACCTCGTTAAAAATTTTTGTGTTCTTTCCGTTTTCTTTACCCGATTATTCAACACTTCAGGATTTTTTCATGCCTCGTGCACTTTTCAGCTATCCCAAAGCCAAGCAGTTCTGTATCCAGGTAAGCATATGTGACCGAAACATGGCAAGTATAAGCATTCTGCAAAGACTACCATAGATGTGTTAAGTAGCTCTTTAACTCTTTTTCATCCGAACAATAAAATCACCTCTCATAATGATTCATTGTGTCGGAGTTCCAAATATACAAACACTCGCATCTAGGCGAAACAAAAATTTAATCAGCATAATGTTTCTACGAACAATTGATTCCGTCTCTCTCGCTAAGTACATAAATAATTAGTTGAATACAAGGAACTGGGCAACAAGTTGCAGACCTGGTTTATTGATCATCACAGGCTTACGTAGCATCGGATCAACATCGATAATCAGTTTAGGCCGATGAAGTGCAGTAACTGGTTTTGTCTGCTCCAGGAATCGGTTGCTCCTAAGATCAAAGGAGCCTATCTGTACCATGTCTTGTTTCATTATATGAATTGGAATGAAGGATCCACACTCCTGCTTGGAACAATAAAGCAATCTTTAATAAAATAATTAGAGATACATGTACTAAAACTCCATTCAATCACTCGAAATTCTCCATGTTAAAATGATTAAGAATTGCACAGATGATTAAACAAAGAAGAATTATTAATCCAACAAACAACAACATATCTAAAAAACCCAAATCATCAAAACCGTAGAAAAAGGAATTACCTTGATTCTAATGCCTTGCTCTTGGTGTAAAACAAGGCCCGGGCCCTGAGGGTACCCATGAGAAACCATCAAACAAATCTTCATCATATTGTTTGATGAAGAGACGCCAAGTTTATAAAAAATAATCCCAGAATCTTCTTTGTTACAGAGCTAAACACTTATCCATCTGGAGAGCTGAGAATCCTAGATTCCCTCACAATTATAGTTCCTATCTGTGTGGTTATAAAAGATAATAATGCAATGAAGATGGGGAAATCTCGATTTATGTGAACCAATTGTTGGGATTTCATAAATCTGTGTGGGTTTGGTATGCCTTTGAGAATTCCAGACTCTGAACTCGCGGAACAATGGCCAAAGGTTGTCGCTTTAATTTACTTGGATTCTTCTCAGAGTCGGATTCCTTTGGATTTATTTTTGACCGTCCGATTCAAATGATTCTTACCTATGATCGCCAATTTCAGTTCTGGAAATTCTGCATTTATACACGATCAAACCTTGATTTGAATGGAATGTCAGTTACCTTGTCTTCTTCAAGCACGTTTTGAACACATTAAATTTCCACTGTTCATGGAAATCAATAATTATTTTTCCATTTGAAAGATTGAAGAATCAAATTTTTCTTTAAAAATAGCCAGCTACAACACGCTCACTCATTTTTCTCTCTTTTGCTTCTGCTCTCTAAGTTCCAATGGCAGATGGTCCGAATGTCCCGGTATTAATCTGTTCTTCATTATATATACATATATATGTTTAAAAGCCACTGTTTCTGTTTCATGTTTTTACGTGTTCTTTTATTTTTCTTTTCAGACGTGTGTTCTGAAATTGAATATCCAGTGTTGTTCAACATGTCCCGAGAAAGTGAAGAAAAAGTTGCAGAAAATCAATGGTATGTTCTTCCTAAAATGACCAACACTTTTTCAAAAACATTTCTGATTGTTGTTGTTGTTTGGTTTTTGTGATCTAGACGTGTATGATATCGACATAGATTCCAAAAATGGGCTGGTGTCTGTTCGGGGTACGGTGCAGCCCTCGGTGCTCATTCAGACAATATCAGACAAGGTCGGCAAAAAAGCAGAGCTTTACTCCTACGACAGGAATCCCGACATTCAAAGCCAGTTGCCGGACGACCGCAGTCGTCGTTCTCCTCGTAACCACCGGGAAAACAACCGGAAATGTTGTTTTGCCGATGAATCTAATGTCGATGATGATGTTAAGGACCCGCAGCATGGCGTGAGAAAGAATAAAAACGGGCTTGCTCGTTGGTTCGGCAAGAAGAGTGTTGTTGAACCGCCGAGGATGTTTAGCAAGTTCGGAGGACTGCGGCTAGGAAAATACGTGAGGCTGCGGCAGCCACCGGCACCGGCACAGCCACCGTCACTACCACCGTGATCGTAGTTTATTGAGAAATGGATAATAATAGCCACCAGTTTATTCAAACTGGTCACCATCACACCAAAAAACAAAGCGGCCGCTCCTTACATTATGGTTTCTCCGAGAAGGAATTACCGACCCGAAAATAGATATAATTTTATCCTATATATTTAAAGATAATTACAATAATACTCCTCTATATATAATTTTTTTTAATTAAATAACTATTTTTATTAAATAATTTTTTTTTATTTCGAGTCGAATCACGGGTGAAAGACCCTTTCTTCTTGGATCGAATAGCCAAAAAACCCGATCCGACCCATTGCCATCCTAGATGATACAATAGCAAAGACCATAATAATCCATCAATAAATACATAAATCTCAATTTCTCCACGCTATCAATTTTCAATCCCAATAAAATCAGTTTCTATTTTGTGACAAGATGAGGCAATCATGGGACCCAATCCCTCATCGACACGTCATATTTTACATTAAATAAAAGGAAAGAGAATCATATTAGACCAACAAATACAATGGGCAATGTGATCCGTTACTCTCTCTCTCTCTCTCTCTTAAACACGCGCAAAAATTTTCTGTATTTACAAGTTTAGCATCGATGGGTCCACCTCCAAAAACATCTTCCCCTAACGAGCTCGAGCTCCCGTCTGTCACCGTCTGATGGCTACAGGCGTCCCTGTTGATCCCATCGTCGTAAACTTCTTCATCGGACGACAGTGGTATGAGCCAGCAGGCGCCGTGCAAGTGCCCGTTCACACAAACGAAATACTCCAGCCGTCGGTCGCCGGAACCGAGAAATCCAGCCGCACTCTTCGGCACGAGCCGAGCCGCCGTCATACTCCAGACTCGGGTCCCGCAATAAGGACACCTCACGCTCTCTTCGAACGGTACTTGCCGTCTGATCAAGCAAGCTCTCCTCTTGGATCTCATGAAACCCAGAAATACCCCTCGATATATCCCCTGGTGGTCTTCGTTAGTCTTCGTTACCCCCCACCGGATGCTCGCAGGGATCACTGATGAACAATAGATCACTCCGGCACCGCTTCGCCAAGAAGCTCCGACCCGACGTCTTGGAAAACCGAGAAGATCGGGCAAAATGACCCGAGTAGGCCGACTCACCTTGAAATGACGAGTTGACTCACAACCGCTGCAGAAAAACATGAGCTTCGCGAGCGCATCCCATCCGCCACCAATTCTTCCGTTGGGGTCACCGTTTGCCAATGCTGCAACCATCCGCGGCGCTCTAAACACGCAGAGCTTTCGCCATAGAATCCTCTTCGCTATAGCTCGAAGCTTGTGGTTCACAGAAGAAACTAAACAGAAGACCTGTAGATCCCATTTTATTGACTCAAACTGTCAAACACGAGTAGGAGAATTCGCTCGTTTAGTACCCCCGAGTCATCCAACTCGGACTCGTCATTAAGCCTGCGCCTCTGGGTGGCACTCATTTTCCGAAAGAGGGGCAGAACAGAATCCAGACAGCGATGGTACTAATACGAGTCTAAACGGCTAAATATCACACGTCTGAAATTCAAAAAAAAAACTCGGGACACGTGTCGTGTCCAAATGGGTGGATTGCTTCTCTAGATAATCTTAACACGTGGTGGGTACCGATTGATCTAGATGGACGCGTGTTGAAAGGACGTTGCGTGAATTTCCGTGATGGAAAATCTAACGTCAGGCGTTACGAGTAATGCCCATACACGTGGAAGCATATGGAGATGAAAAGTGGTATGGTGAAAAAGAGGATTTTTGACGGATGAGCACATGGGTCCCAAGCTGTAGGGTAGGGTATTGTCTATAGACATCAGGTAACGTACGAAGATAAATTTAGGGTAAATTACGTGTTTAGTATCTAAATTATCAGTTTTGATCAGCTTTAACATTTAAACTTTTATTTTTTAAAATCATACATAACATTTAGTTTTCGTTTCATTTTAATACTCACCATTAAAAACTTAATAGACGGATTGACGGGACATAGCTCCAGTGGACGGACAACCAATCCGAACGATGGACCACGAGAGAACGATGAGTCGATCAACATAGTCCAGTTTTAAGCCCATCAGATGGCTGACGAAAGAGATCGAAGGATGAAGAAGTCGAAGATTTCATCATCGATTCGAGGAGGTTGAGACAATTTTCAATGAAACGAATTTTAGGCTTCATCGACCGATATATGTGATGGTAATCGATTATAGACACGGCGGCCGACGAGTCTGTCCATTAAATTTTTAACGTCGAGTATTAAAATGAACAAAAACTAAATGTTAAGTATGATTTTGAAAAAAATGAAAAATTTTAAATAAGTAAACACGATCAGAATTGTAAATCTTTTAACGAAGATATAAAACAAATACGAACAAAATTAAAACTAAATACTTTTCTTTATGGTTTGGAATTGGGTTGAAAGTCACCGAGAGGGAGCCTCGAGTCAGCTTCACAACATAATGCGTGGGATATTGAAACAACAAAATCTTTTTGCTCATTAGATACTGAAATCACCCAGATATGTGTTAGTTCACATTAAATTATCAACAACATCCGTACTTGTTTCTATTAGATCTATTCATGAATGGTTGAATGACAGATTATCATTTAAAGAAGGTATAACATTTATAGCTTTTGTTTATTGGTTTTTGTTATTTTCTTGAGGTAAATTCAGCCCTACGAGTAAATCTCCAACTGCTTTTCTTCCTAATAAAATCTTGAAACCACTTGCATATGCTATATATACTAAGTTCGTCGGTATCATACCAATATACATATCGCTTTTGTTCCAGTATCTTTTAAATTATCATCATATATATATATATGTATTACATGCATGAAAATATTAAAATCATTTATAACCGAGGGATGGGGTTCGATTATGTTTCATCAACGATTAAGATAGCTTCACTGTGATGCTATATTGAATTCGGCATCCTCCAAAAATTCCCACTCTTCATCGATTAGTAGCTCCTTGTCATCAGCTTTGTACCATTCGTCTGATGATCTACTTTTCGGTGATTGCACATCGACGGGTGGTGTTGGGCTACTCTTCTCTAGGGTTTTAGCCGTCTCTCCCTGCTCGGGACTAAGATCTGGGGTCGTGCTTTTCGGAGATGAGCTGGAGGAAGCCAGGATGCGGCTGGTTCGGCTTGAGGATATGAATTTGCTCAACGGGATACACTGATCAAACTTCTCTTTAAGCGATCTTACATCCTGGCAAATAACAGATACTTCTCCTCTGCAGACAGGTGAAGAGTGAATCAGAGCTAATATGTTAAAAACACAAAATAATAAATGCGATTCATGTATCGACGCATTCTATCGCAAGGAGTTGAATATTCGTGGTGCCGATGGATCCTAAATACCAGACAAAAACTATCATATATATTGTGATTCATATATCTGCCCCACTCCAAATTTACGTTCTTGTTACTACCAATAACAGATCAAATTAACTGCGAATTCAACACTTCCACCAGTCGACAGTTTTATAACAAACTCATAAATCAGGCATGGTATGAGGAAAATGTTTGATGCTAATTGATAAAAGTAGATAACCGGGAAAGAAAACCTACTGTAATGAGTCAACAATCTGACCACGTTCCATAAGAAACTCTCGTAACTGCAGTAGAGCGTAAACATAAAAAATAGTAAGTTCAAATTGGTAATCTATTTCAAACTTTTGTTAAGACTAGTAAGAGGTGATACAGACTACACAGAAATGAAAAGCTACCTTGGAATTTTCTTCTGCCTCCTGCTGTAAAATCTCAGACTCTTGAACCACTTTTGACATAATCGCTTCTTGCTCGGCAAGAGCGCTAAGGGCAGATTCTTTTTTTTCCAGCTTCTCCTGCTCTGCTGCTTTCATCAACTCCTTTGCAGCAGCTAGGCGAGCTTCAAGGGTTTGACGCATCTGTGGATAGAAGCATACAGGTAAAAGAATTGAGTATAACTAGCTCAATGTCTTGTCCGTATCATGTTCCTGGTTAAATACACCATAAATTCCCAGGATAATATATAGTACAAATCTCTAAAGAAACTTGTTCTGTGATGAATCTGTTTCAAGAAATGGTTGATTTATCACATGGACAAGAAAGTTAACCGAACATTAGTTCATTGCACAAGATGATATATGTCATAAAAATTGTCCAACTTCTCCAACGCCTCATGCATGGATAAACATATTGAACAACCAAGATAAAGATAATTTATGGCATACAGATAACAAACAAACGAACTATACCAAGGCAAATCATATCAAGGCAAGATTTTCTACAAAATATCTACCAGATAATTTAGTTTGTTCCTACAATACCTCATCGAGAATGGAAAGAGATTTATCTCTTTCCTCTGATAAGCTGCGCAAGCGACTTTGAAGCTCCCTTCCTTCAGAGAATAAAATTGCCTTCTCCCCAAATACATCTCCAGCCTGCTGAAAAAGAGAGAACATTGGCTGAGCTTTCATACTCTATAAAGAATCATAGAGCTACATAGTCTTATACTCTTAACAGTAATAAAAAAATGTGACTGTTAAGAACTGCACAACCATGTCATTTGCATCCTTTACCTGTGCCAGCCTCTGTCTAAGTTCCTCCACCTTGACGAGAATATCTAAACCATCCTCGGCACATTCTTCTTTTGCTAGTTCTGCAGCTTCCTCTTGAAGTACGACTTCTCTCATCAAATCCATTATCGACTGCATGAACTGAAACAAGGTTTTCTACACCAAAATATGGTAAGCTAAGGGTATGCCCTCCCGAAATAAAACAAAAGAAATAATGAACTAACTTTTCATAATGAATAGCTTCTTATATAAGCAATAGCATCAGAATTCAAAACCTAATAGGTACATCATGCCACAACTGACACAGTTATCATTGCAGAGGATTCAGGCTCATACCCATTTAGCATCAAAATTTAACAAAAGAGAGCTAAAGGTTTGGAGCAAAGAGTACCTCATTATTTTTAGCATCTTCAATGACCTCTTCACGTAGATCAATTCTGCATGTTTGACTAGACCCACTAACAACAGGATTGACGGTATCATCCTCAATATTGCCCATATCACTGATGGGGTCCTGCTGGGATTTCAGTTCTATAGAACCTCCTTCTAGTTTCTCAGAACCAGTAGAGTGGTCATTGATTTCAGAATGAAGGCCAGCTCTCAGGGCTTCTGCCATTTGTTCTTGAGAAGATGATGGAACAAGAAGAGCCCCAGCATTTTCTTCCCCTATCAAGATTCTATTGAATGAACTGTTTCTGCATGAAACCGCATTCAGATCTAAAGGCCCATATAACTTTAAAATATCATTATAGCTGCCACTGCTATCAGTATTCTCCAGAAGTGAGGTAGACTTATCAGCTGTGTCTGGTGAAGTATGAGAAGTCCTCACAATCCCATCTTCAATGGCTACGGTTTGGTCTTTAGATGCAGACCCCTTAATTTCAAGATTCACATAAGGCAGAAGATTATCAATCCCTAAAGCACTCAAGCTGACACTAGATTCAGCTTTCCCAATTTCAGAACATTTTTCTGTGTTCCCCAACAAAATCAATTCATCGGTTACAACATCAGCAGGCTCATTATTGTTGTTCTCATGGGTTTTTGAAGTACTCGCTGCACTTGATGCCTCAACAGAACCCACACCGGTAGCAGCACCTGTAAGAACATCGTCTCTGAGAACTTCATTTGCTTCCAACAATGGATCTGTAGGAGAGCATGCTGTGTTCACCAACAATACCTTCTGCTGCCTCAATCGATTGCCTTCTTCCTCATCCAAAGCTTCAAGTTCAACAAAAAACATGACATTAAACAGGTGAATAGATGAACAAATAAGTCCCAATAGGCTACTACAAGACAGCAATGGATAAAATGGCAGTTACCCTCTAATCCACAGTACTGAACATACAGATAAACAACTAATTCTTCAACAATATTGCAGAACTAAATCATGAAAAAGAATACCTCTATTTGGAGGCACGCGCGGATTCGGTCTCCTTGAGGAAGAACTAGCAGCCACCGTTTGTTTAGACATGTAAGGCAGAATCTCAGACAGAACAATCTCTGCAGCTGCATCCACATCCTTAGAGTTCTCAATAGCAACAGCTTTTAGAATACGCGAATCAACCTGTGCATAAAGGTGTAAGCAAAAAAAATTACTGCATATTTGTTACATTTCTTTTTTCAATTTACTACTTTGTGCTTCATACCCCCCCCCCCAAGATGAATACACACACACACGCACGCACATATATAAATCAATAACAGTATTGGATTAAATGAGTGAAAAGAAATACCTGCGGGAATATATGCATCAAGCATTTATAAACCTTTTGAAATCCCATTCTGGAAAGCTATTAACCTGCAAAATAAAGTTACAAAATTTACACAATATTTATAATCAACTTCATAAACAATAAAGAAAATATGCACGATGAGAACCATAATTGTAATCATGTTAAGCATACGTAAAACTGCCAATACATTGATTTTTCAAACAGAACTGAAGAAGCATTATAGAACCAAATTTCTTCCAACATGACGGAGAAAAACAAAGGAAGAAAATAGGATTAGTATAAAATACAAGTATTATAGAATCAGGTAAACCAAAAACAGAAACCCTAGTGCCATGCTTGGTGATTAAAAATATACAAGACCAGTTTTTTGTTTAAAAATAATAATTTCCTTACTTGATTTATTAATTTAGAAAAGAGAATAAAAATAATTAGAAAGTAATCAAAACATCAAACAAAGGAAAAACAACTTAAGAAACAATGCTCTGTTTGGCTGCAGAGAAGAAAAAAAAGACAGAATTTAACCGTGAGAAAGGAAAAAGAAAATAGGGTTTTCCAGGAAAAGTAGAAAATCAAATCAAGAACCAAAAAAGAAAAGAAAAACCTCTCTTTTCAAGCGAGAAAGGGAGAATGATCGGAGAAAAATAAAAGGACGGGGTGAGAGTTTTGGAGAAGAGGAATGGCTACTAGTATTCTCTAATTATTTTATGGGTAAACTACTATTTTTTTGCTCGCTCAACTTTTAATATATTTCTATTTTAGTCACGTAATTTAAAATAATTGAATTTTACGCTAAATCTTTTAATTTTTATTCATTTTGATCACCTAATCATTAAATATTTAATATCATTCTTTTTGTTCAATACATAAAAATATAAAAAATTCTCATCAAAACTAAATTTTGAGATTCCATTTATTTTACTAATATTAGAGTATTTTCTTTTAAATTAGAACACTAGAAAGTTAAATAAATAATATATTTTAATTTCATGTTAAACATATGTTAGGAATTTTAAATCAGATTAAGATAAAATCAAATTTTGATTTTATTTTGTTAATTTTAAACAATTTCAAGAAAAAAATAAAATTGAGAAGGATAGAATAGAGTACGGAAACACTTTGGTATTAATTATATCAGACAAAGAAATATTTTTGTTATGAGTATAAATAATATTAAAATTTTAAGAAAAAATTAAAAATAAAAATATTCAATATGCAATATTTTGGTTTTACGATAGATATTTATGATACATTTATTTATCGAAAGTCGTTTTAATAACGTAATTATAGACTAAACAAAATACAGTCGTTACTATCATAATTAAATATAACAATGATCACTTAGTGATAGTCTGATAAGTAAAAGCATGAACAAGCGAAGTAACGACGTACATAAACGGATCACACTAACGGCTCTGAACACTAAACATGAAGGAAAAATCTTGAAGAAGAGCCATAACGTTCAACGGAAAAAGCGATCTCCTATTATCAACAATCACATCCGGCACATATATGAAATAATCAACATATCATCTTATACAAACGAACAGAGAAATCAGCTACGATACCTTTTATCAGAAAAAAAAGGTAATGAGAAAACATTATTATTAAACTATGTTAAAGTAAAATTAAAAAAGTAGTAACAGTAGAAAGAATGAACAGAAAAGGAAACAAAGGACGGGGAGGTGGCGGCCAGCCGGCCACCAACGCTGCTCCAAAGATAGAACATTAGGTAATCGGCGGCTAAGGAATGATGACTGTTGCATAGAGAAATACTAGGAATTAGACATTTAACAGTTGAATGGTTAAAATAGTAAATTTTGAAAGTTTAATAATAAAATTTGATATTTTTAAAGTCGATTAATTTATCCCATATTTTGTTTCACCAACTTGATTTTCAATAACAGTAATAAGAGTGAAGTATACAAACAGTAATCCGATCGTAATTGTTATTTTGTTAAGTGTCTCGATTATTAAAAAATTTAGAATGATTTTTCGATTATTCCAAGTTATAAAATTATCACTCTACTATTCATATGTTGTAAACTCATCATTTTTCATTCAAAAGTTGATGATTGTATGAACTTGATGTTAACCTGTTAACTCAGACATAATAAAATAATACTTTAATCATGTCTACTAATCGACGATATAATACTTCAAGCACTGACTTGATGATATAATATAAACGAAAAGTTCATCCATAAAATACAATTTAAATAATTTTAGGATCGTATTTTATCATGTCTCAGTCAACAGATTAACATTCAGCTCAGAAAACTTTCAATTTTTTAACAGAAAAAAAGAGTTTGGAACATATTCAAGTGACCATGTTAAAAGTTTTAATAGTCGTGGATTCAACAAAACAACACTTTATAATCGAAGACTATTTCATAATTTTTAATAATCGAAGACTCAACAAATATCTCGCTATATTAAGAGACTCGTTGTGTATCTTACCATTCATTTTAGTGCATACATGTATATACATGTATGTATGTTATTAACACAAATTGCACCTAACAAAATCTTCATAGGAAAGGAATGCAGTATAAATCAATGAATAGATAAAGCCATTGAGAACCAAACCATCAACAAACCATCGCCTCATTCTCTTGGTCATCCCCTGTTTCTATGTTCTTATTCAACAAGTTCATGGAGAGTATAAATTGAGATGGGCACCAATGTCGAGGCATCAAATCCCCTCCTTTTTAGGTCCAAAATATTGAAGATAAAACGCTCTCCATAATGGCAGCAAAGCTCTGGATTACCATATTATCTCTCTTCTCCATCTTCTTCGCCGCACTGTCAAATAACCTGACCCTAAATCTCGAGCAAATAACCTTCGGGCATCCAATCTGCAGGTCCCAAATCGCGCTGGTGAACTTCGCGTGTGCGATGGTGCCTATACTCCCGATGCCGCAGTCGGAAGATGGAGATGAGGGTAGTGGATCGCACCGGCACAGGCACCGGCATAGGCACAAGCATAAGCATGGGGTTCATGAGAGACCGGAACAACGCTACTGTTGTCAATGGCTGAAGCAGATCGATTCTTTGTGTGTGTGTGAGATCCTGGTTCATTTGCCGCCTTTCCTTTGGAAGCTTAATCATAAGTACACCGTCGTTGTCGACGAAAAATGCAGCGTCACCTACTTATGCCAAGGTCGATGGCGACTGTGATGCACCCCACGCTTGTTAACTCCATCTTTTTCGGTTGCTTGTTTAGCTTTCGTATGCAGAACATATATATATATATATATATATCTGTTACCAAGTTGTGAGATTTTTATTCAAATTCTTACTCCACCTCCTTAAAATTATTAATACAATTCTTCAAAAATTAAGAATAAAAATGATATTTGGTCGCGACAGATTTTGACCTAATCAAATCTCATAAGATTAACATTTTGAGTTCAAGATTAGAGAAAAAAAATTTGGACCTGAATATGATAAATATATTACGGGTGAATTATACATTGAGTACATAAACTATCAGTTTTGATCCGTTTTAGTACTTAAGCTTTTAATTTTTTTAAAAATATACCTAAAGTTTTATTTTTGTTTCATTGTAGTACCAATGTTCAAAGTTTAACCTTAATTTTCGAAAATAATTGAAAGTTTAGGTACTAAACGGACCAAAACCGATAGTTTAGGTATTAAATGCATTAAGTTTTTAATGGTATGGTGCTAAAATGAAACAAAAACTAAACGTTAGATGTGATTTTGAAAAAAAATAAAAGTTTAAGTACTAAAACGAATCAAAATTGATAGTTTATGTACTAAATATATAGTTTATCCTATTTTGACGCGTATTAGTACAGATGGTTGGAATTCATGAATTTGAGTTTGTAAGGTTAAGTTCGAATTGTCATTCTTGGTGGACAATCTGTAAATTCCTATATAAATCTCAATTAGGTCTTAGATATGCTCTAACCTTGGATTGGGAGAGCCACCCCTAACCTAAATTTTAAAAAAATGTTGAAAGAAAAACAATTCATTAGAATTAATAAAAAAAATAGTCGACATTAATTTAATAAATTTATTACTTTTTCTTTAAAAGATTAAATCGGATAAAAAATTAAAAGTAAAAGATACAAAAAGAATTTAAGGACTAACTTCTTCAACAAATTCAAGAATAAAAGTATCATTAAAAAAACTAAAAATGAATTAACACTATAATTTAATAAAAAAATATTGAGTTTAATACTTGAATTGTGAAAGAAAATAGACATTGATAAACAATTTATTTATTTGGAATAAAAATTTGAATTATTTAAAACAATTTATTTTGTCGCTATGCTACAATTATTACATGATAATATATTATTGATATAATTAACAATAATAACACGTTGAAGTAGCATTGGATTATAGTGCACGTTACAACTGGTGTTGCACTATAGTTGTGTTACTTTTTTTTCTTTTTTTTTTTTTATTTTTGGTTTTTTATTTTTTTATTTTTACTTTCTTTTGTTATTTTTTTTGTTAATTTGTGAAATAAATATTCTAATTCGGAGAATTAAAATATATAATTATGTAACTTATATTTTTCGCATTATTATTATGAATCGTAATTTTCTTATTTATTTGTATTTTTGCAATGTTATTTATGAATGTTTTATTTATTTATTTTTTATCTTAATTTTTATTAAAAATATATATGTTTTATTTTATATTTACAAAATCAATATTACAATAATTAAATATTGTGAATAAAGTAGAGTTGATAGTAATGCAGAGATAGTGCTAGAAATGAATTATTGTTTCATCTTTAGTAGAGATAAGATATTGTAGAGTAAAGATGAGAACTGAGATAATTACTTTCACGAAATAAACAAATAAAAAATAACGAATAATATCGTAAAAACAAACTCTAATAAACAATAAAAATAATATAAATTATACAGAATTTAAAGGTGATAAATAGTGGGTAAAGTACATAACTTATCCCTCAACTATAGGGTATTATTTTATTGGGTCATTGACTATTAAAAGTTATAAAATAGTCCTTTAACTATAAGATATTGCTTTTTTAAGTCTAATGACTATTAAAAGTTATAAAATGATCACATGATTATTCATTGTGTTCCAAACTCATTCTTTTTGGTTAAAAAATTGATGACATTTTGAGTTAGACATTAGCATATTGACTGAGATATGATATAATATGAACTCTAAATCTCAAAAGATTAACATATATTAGTTAGGAGGTTAACGTCTAACTCACACTAATATTAATTTTTATAACTTTAAAATAACTTTTAATTTTTAATTATTTTATAACTTTTAATAGTCATATGACTTAAAAAATAATATCTCATACTTTAAAAAATATTTTATAACTTTTAATAAAAATTCAATAGAATAATATTCTTCTATAGTTGAGAAACTATTTATGTATTTTACCCGTAAATAGTTTCATCGCCAATAGATTAAATTACATGGTCAAAAGTCCAGATTTCTCTAATCCATGCCGCCACGTCCACCGCACCTGGCTGGCTGGCTTTTGCTTCTAGCAGCCTGTTTTGACCTTCATGCGGTGGGAAGCGTGTCTTCAACAATCAGCTCAGCTATAAATAGAGCTGGATTTCACCGTTGATATTCAGCACTCATTTCCCTTTCATCATATCGAGATTTAGACACATCCATGGCTTACCTTCAGTGTTTCTTCTTCACTTGTCTGTTACTTTACATTTCTTCTCCATCTTTAGCTCAACAGTCTTTCCGGCCCAAGGCCCTGGTGATCCCCGTCGCTAAAGATGCTTCTACACTTCAATACCTCACCACCATTGACCAAAGGACACCCCTTGTGCCCACCGACCTCGTTGTCAATCTCGGTGGCAAGTTTATGTGGGTTGATTGCGAACGGGATTACGTTTCTTCGACGTACCGTCCCGCCAGGTGCCGTTCAGCGCAATGCTCATTAGCCGGAGCCGATGGATGCGGCGATTGCTTCTCGGCACCAAGGCCGGGGTGCAACAACAACACGTGTGGCGTCACGCCTGATAACTCGGTGACCCACACAGCCACCTCCGGCGAGGTTGCCCAAGATGTTGTGTCTCTTCAATCAACCGATGGGAGGAATCCCGGCAGGGTGGTGAGTGTACCCAGGTTCCTTTTCGCTTGTGCACCCACTTTCTTGCTTCAAGGTCTGGCGAGCGGTGTCACCGGAATGGCTGGGCTGGGGAGGACTAGAATTGGGCTCCCTTCACAATTCGCTGCCGCCTTTAGTTTCCGAAGGAAATTTGCCGTTTGCCTGTCGTCTTCAACCTCGGCAAATGGTGTTATTTTCTTCGGAGATGGTCCATACATGTTCCTCCCCGGAATCGATGCATCACAGTCGCTTACCTTTACACCACTCTTCATCAACCCCGTCAGCACCGCCTCCGCCGAATATTTCATCGGCGTTAAGTCCATCAAAGTGAACGAAAAAACCGTCTCGTTGAACACAACGTTATTATCCATAGACAACCAAGGTGTCGGGGGCACAAAAATCAGCACAGTAGACCCCCACACCGTCCTCGAGGCTTCGATCTTCAAAGCCGTCACCGAGGCATTCATTAACGAAGCCGCTGCTATGAACATCACCAGGGTCGCCGGCGTTGCGCCATTTGAAGTGTGTTTCAGCTCGAGTAACATCTTAAGCACGCGCTTAGGACCAGCTGTGCCATCAATCGATCTCGTGTTGCAGAACCAGGACGTGTTTTGGAGGATCTTTGGTGCGAACTCGATGGTTGAGGTCAACACGGACGTGTTGTGTCTTGGCTTTGTTAATGGCGGATCGAACCCAACGACCTCCATTGTTATCGGAGGGCACCAATTGGAGAACACTCTTCTGCAGTTCGATTTGGCAACTTCAAGGCTGGGTTTCAGTGCTACACTCTTGGGCAGGCGAACTACTTGCTCCAACTTCAACTTCACGTCTAATGCTTAGATCATACGGCATGGCCCTGGTTCATTATATATAGTGATTTTCAAACTTTTCTTTTTACCTTTCAGAATTGTATGATTTCTGTGAGTAATAAGCTAAGAAAGATTAATAATCTGCATTCAGCAATATGGTGTGTGTATCAGTGTATGTATATATTTGTGCGATATGATACTTTTCTTGTATTCCAAATAAAAGTTTATGTTAATTGTTTATGGGTTGTGTATTCAGTTTGAAAATTATCAATTATTAGATTAAATAACATCATAAAAGTAGATGATCAAACAATTAAATAACAATATCATAAAAGTAGATGATCAAACGGTAAAGTGTAGAAATGATATCTCAACTATAGGGTGTTGTTTTATTGATTCCTTAACTTTTAAAAGTTACATAATAGTCACATGATTATTTATTATGTTCTAAATTCATCTTTATCCATTAAAAAAATGACAGAAATCTAAACTGAATATTAACTTATAAATTGTGATATGATAAAATTTGATCTCAATATCTCAAATAATTATTATATCCCATTAATCATGTTAATGCTCAAACGACAGTTAATTTTTTAATGAAAAAAATAAGTTTGAAATATAATATATAGTCAAATGATTATTTTATAACTTTTAATCGTTAAGGCAATCAACAAAGTAATATTCTATAATCAAAAGATCATTTTATAACTTTTAATAACTAATGGACTTAATAAAATATCACCTTAGAATCGAGAGACCGGTACTTTACCAATGATTAAATTATGTGAAATTAATTAATAATCAGTTGATTTAGTATGATAAATTACTATATTCTTTAAGAATTGTCTGGGATTAAGAGGGTTGTCTCCGTAAATAGGCCAATGCAATACCTGAACTGAATAATTAATCCATAGATTGGATTCAGATGGTTATACAATAAATTATATGAAATTAAATCCATAGACCTAACACAAACATAAGCAAAATAAAGGGACCATAATCAAATTTTGACCTAAAGTTTATTCTACAATAGAAGTCGGTAGCAGAATTTTGGGCACATACCTATTAATAGTGTATAAGGCAAGCTGCAATAATTAATCGTGTATGTTTTAGACTATGGATAAATGACTGCATTTGGATCTCCCATCAAATCACCTTACCATACGACTTGCCTTGATCTACGGAAACCGGGGGCATTCCCCTTGTCGAAACATGGGTAACCTGTTGCCGTACGTTCCCGGTCTCGGAATAATATTGTTAGAATGACTCGTATG